AGCCATTAGAGCTTCAATCACAAATTGAGCACCATTAGATTTAGATACAAACACGCAAGCACACAAAAACACACATCTTATCTCCCATCGAACCTTCTCTCTAACGGGTGTTGCTGTCAGCTCGAGCAGCTGTGCGGGGAGCTCCGATTGTTGAGGTAACATCTCTTTTCGTTTTGTTGTTTTTTTTTTTTTTGATTTTTCTGGGTGATGGATTGTTGGTCGGAGTTGGATTTCATGGCAGCTTGATTGAGATCAGCTCCGTTTGCTTGTTTGTTTGGATTGTCGGTGTTAGAATATCACTTGTGAGTTGTCTCACATGGTTCATACATGGAAAATAGACCCACCTTATAAGTCTAATGAGCTATTCCTTTTTCCACCATTTGGTTTTGGGACAGTGCACTTCATGTTAGTGGGACCGCACTCGTTTTTCCCCCAATTTCTTACAGTCGGATTTTGTTGATTTGTGCTGTGTTTCGATTTTTTTTGCTGGTTGATCAGATGAATTTGTTCTCAATCAGATGAATTTGTTCTCAATCGATTACTGGTTGGTGTTTGAATTTGCTTGAAGCTGAAAGCAGTAGCTGTAGTCTCTGACTCTCTGCTCTTAAATCCTTTTTTTTTTTCCTGGATCGATTATTTTTTTCATTCTTCTTATGCGATGTGATACATGGTGATATGAAATTGTTCTGAGTTTGATTATGTTTTCAAATTTTGATTAAAAAAATAAAATAAAATCCTACACTGATGAAGATTTTATTTATTTTTTTCCCGTTAAAATGGATTAAAGATTTTTGTGAAGATTGAAGGGAATCGAGTAGGATTATTCGTTTTTTTTTTCTGCTTAATTTAGAATCATTGCTCTTTTTATTTCCTATAATATTACTTTCGTTTATATTCATATTCTGTGACGGAACTGTAGCGTTTCTCTGTATTTTTATATGATTATTTGAAGTAAAATAATGAAGTATTTTTTTTTTTCCTTTTTTTGAATGAGAAACTAATGGAAAGCATAAAATTAGCTGGCTCTTTTGGCCTCTGCTACTGATGAATCTAGCTGGCATATCTAGTTTTTCAAAATTTTGCCTGTTTTAGAATTTAGTTTGGCCGTAAATGAATAATTAACGATAAAAGTTGGTCTTACATACGAGTAATACGTAATTAGTGGTTGTGATTAATGTCCAAATTAATAAAATATTAATTGATGATTATATATATATAACTGCACTTAATGATAAATATCTTGCATACATTTAATTATTTGCAATCACAGAACATATAACGATATATTCTACCTGAAAATGCAAAATTAAACTATACAAAATATAATAACAGCTTATTATATAGAGAAATTATATGATCTTGTTACGGTACCATTCCATTGAGTGTTTTAACTGTTGAAAATGGTACCGCAACGAGACCACAATATTTCTCTGTTATATAATGGTAAGTGTTACAAAGTAGTCAAATGGATCCTGATTTTTTCATGGTGGGACCGAAGCAAGTGGGCCAGCCACGTAGCATATTCAATCATGTGGTCTAGTATCATTAGAGATAATCGATCCAACAATTACAAATCTCGACGGAATAGTTTCGTAACGAGAGCGTAAAAGAATATACTATATTTTATGTCATTCACAAGTTGCACAAATGAAAAGGAATTTATCACGTCTTATATACTTGTATGACCATAAAACCGGATGAAATATTCATGGCTTTTTCAAAGTCGTGAAATATCTAGCTGTTATGTAATAATAATCTTAATAATTACTAATACTTTTATACAACTTTTATACCTATGTAAATATTTGAATCCAATTAATTTATTTACTTCAAAAAGTTAAAATGAAAATGTGACACTAGTAATACAAGATGATGTTTGAAATGTATATATTTTGTCAATAAATTACTATGAAATTAATATTAAGATCTTATCAAAATATATCTTATCAATATCAAAATAATTCTACTTAAGTCATTTTATAGTTAATTGATATTAGCCATCGAGTACAAATATACTAATTAACTTTTTTTTTCATATATAAGATTTGCTAATAAATAAATATTAATTAAATGTTAAATATAGATAAAAAAAAATTTCCACCCAAAATTATACCAATCATGTCAATATAGATTGGTCTATTATATATATATATATTGGTGATACGGTTTTGCTATGGAGCCATCGGATGGCTCGGCTTATGGAGCCATTCATTGTTATTCACAAATGATGTATTGACACGTGTCCTGCAATAAATGCACATCGAACATGGAGCCATAACGGAGCCATCCGATTGCTCCGTAGAATTACTGATTGGTGATAAACATTTTTTGCCACTTAAGTGTTTGACTTCTAGCTATAGGAAATTTCATCCCTACTCGTGAATAGTTTTTACCAACAGGTCAAATACGTTTATACATACTCGTGCAGATGTGTGTTGATCGTACGATTAAAAGAAATTCAACGAAAACTAGAGAAAATGGGATGAATAAGAGCCCTTAGATGGATTGGGATGATGCTTGTATCAATTCCCATCGCATGTTTTGTACAGCTGATAATTATGGGGACATTTGTGGTGCTGATAAAGTCCAAAATTATGAGCGCTCTCACTTTCAATTGGTAGCTGATGGACTTGTGCTATTAGAGAGCATTTATTAGTAGCTTTAATCACATAACAATCTTAGGACGGCTGATATTGGAGATGTCTGTAGGAGTTTAAGATCCCTGCTATTTCTCTTCATTGCCTTTATAAGGGTAACAAACTTGACAAATTAGTACATAGCGAATATGTTAAATGAAACCTTATTACAGTATATCTCAATGCATGTTTTTCACCATGTCCGTGGCTGTGCTAGTAAGTGGCACATTCTGCATTCATAGTAAGTATTTTCATGGACTAAAAGTTCGTCTTGCCGGCAAGTCAGTGGCAAAAATAATTATAGTATAAAAAGTTTTGAACCAGCCTTTTTTTATAATCTTCATCTATTTGCATTATGCATATGCTTGACTGTTTTCATGTTTATAACAACTAAGCAACTTGGTAATACAGAATTTGGGTTCACTCTTTCATGAATATGAAGATTGACTTCTTGTGATAATTAACCTCAGGTAAACTGCAGAAGAGCAAAAGGAGAGTCATGCCTAAGCATCGTTGGCGTGAATCATTCAAATCCTTCTTTGGGAGTCATGTCGACCCAGAAAAAGACGAGGAGCTCAAAGGAACTAGAGCTGGTAAAAGTTCCGGTTGATTTTAAACTATGCCTACTCGTGGCTTTTCTTTGGAAAAAAGGGTCCTCATTTTAGCCTTACTCCAGAAAAATAGACCAAGTCCTCAGTGGCCATTCATGTTAAAGAAAGAATTACAAGTGCCCCACTAAAGTTTGACTATTTTACATAATTACTTACTTTTGAGGGAGGTGTTATAAATTTAATACAAATCTCAAGGAGATGCTTATCTGGTAATTATACCACAGCTTGTGGATGTTTTCTGGAGCTATCTTTTTTATGCTATCTGATTCAAACTGTTGAGCCAGATTTTGTCATCTTAGAGTGTTGACATTTTCATTTGCCTTGCTTTCAATTGGCAGAAATAGAAGGCAAAGTGCAGCAGATCTTAAAGGCGCTCAAAGAAGGCGACAATAATGAAGGAAAAGAGCCACTAATTGATCTGATTACCGATTTTCACCATCAGTATCAGTCTCTTTATGCACGTTATGATCACCTGATAGACGAGCTGCGAAAAAAAGCAACCGGTAAAAAAGGGGACGACAGCTCCTCATCCAGCTCAGATTCCTCGGACTCGGAGGATTCTCCAAAGAAAAAGGAGAAGAAGAACGGGAAAGTGGAGAACGATCTTGAAAATGACACAGCCGGTGTCAAGCATGAACTCGAGCTGGCACTTTCCGAGCTGGCTGACCTGAGGAGAAAGCTGACAATCACTTCAGAAGAAAAGGAAACGCTAGTTAGGGAGTGTGAAAGGTCGTCGAGCAAAATTGAGGACATTGAGAAGATAATATCGGAGTTGAATAGTGAAGCTGAAAGATTGAAAAGCGATAATTCCAGATTATTGGCTGAAAATGAGAATTTGCTTAAGTGGCAAGGTGAGGCGAGCAAGAAGCTGGAGGAAGTGATTCTAGAGAAAGAGGCTGATGCTTTGAAAATCGAGGAGGAGAAGACAAATGCAGAAAATTTGAGAGTTGTTAATGGCCAATTGCAAGACGAGAAAGACGCCATACAGCTAGAATTGGAAGCAGTGAAGGGAGAATTTTCTAGTTTAAGGGAGAAATTGATATTGGCAGACGATGAAGTTGCTAAGCTGAGTCAAATGCAGAAGGCTGCAGATGAGGAGAAAGGTAGTCTTTTGCTAAAGATTTCACATCTTAAAGAACAGGTTAATCAGGATGAAAACAAGATTCAAGATCTTGTAAACGAGTCAAGCCAATTAAGTGAGAAACTGGGCCAGAAAGAAAGAGAGCTGTCGACTCACGAGGCTTACAGGGAAGAAATCAATGCGAAACTGGAATTCGCAGAAAAGGAAAACACTACTCTTTCTTTAAAGATTTCACAACTTGAGGATGAGATCAAACAAGCCGAAAGCAAGATTCAAGATCTCGTAAATGAGTCGAGGCAGTTGACAGCCAACTTGGGAGAGAAGCAAAAAGAGTTGTCTAGTCACCTGGAGAGTCACGAGGCTTACAAAGAGGAAACGAGGGAGAAACTGGAATTAACAGAAAAGGAAATTGCCAAGCTAAGTGAGATTCACAAGGCTTCGCAGGAGGAGAACACCAATATGTCCTTAAAAATTTCACAGCTAGAGGATGAGATAAAACAATTTGAAAGCAAGATTCAAAATCTTGATGATGAGTCTAGCCAGTTAAGGGAAAATTTAACTGAGAAAGAAACAGAACTTTCCGCTCACCTAGAAAGGCATGGAGCTGACAAAAAGAAAGCAGCAGAGGAAATCACTGAGCTAGCTCAGAAGCAAAAGGTTGTGCAAGAAGAGAACTCAAGCCTCCGTATAAGAATCTCACAGCTCGAGGATGACATAAAACAGGCTGAGAACAAGATTCAAGAATTTGTTTCCCAATCGAGCCAGCTGAGTGAAAAATTGTCTGCAAAAGAAAGAGAGCTTTCGAGCCACCTCGAGATTCACGAGGCTCACAAAGAACAGGCATCAACTCGTGCGAGGGATTTGGAATTGGAACTCGACTCATCTCACGCTCAGAGAAGAGATCTTGAAAAGCAGAAAAACGATGAGCTTTTTGTTCTTCTCCAAAAACTCGAGGCACATGAAACTGACTCGTTAAACCAAATAAATGATCTAAAAGCTCAAGTAAGCAGCCTTCAACAAGAGGCTGATTCCTTGAAGGCCCAGAAAAGCGACCTCGAAGAACAAATAGTGCATAAAAGCAATGAAGCATCCGATCAGATCAAGAACATTACCGATCAGGTCAATGCGAAGCAGACTGAACTAGAGTCGCTGGTCAGCCAAAAAACTGACATGGAGAAACTAATGGAGGAAAAAGTCAAAGAAGTCTCTGAACTTGTGCTCCAGATAGAGACTCTGAAAGAAGAGCTGGCAAACAAAAGTTCGGTTCTAGACCGGCACGTAGAAGAAAAGCAGACTCTTTTGTTGCAAGTGATGGATCTGGAACAAAAGCTCCACTCTACAGGCAATGAAAAACTGGAAATGGCGGAACAACTTAAAGCGAAAGGCCAAGAAGTTTCAGAATTTCTAATTCGGTCAGAAGCTTTAAAAGGAGAGCTTGAGAAAATGTCCACAGAGCAACAGAAAACACTTGAAGAGAAGGAAAGTCTTGCTTTGAAAGTGCAGGACCTTACAATTGACCTCGACTCCCTAACCAGACAGAAACATGAAATGGAAGAGGAGAACTCAAGTCTCCGCATAAAAATCTCACAGCTCGAGGATGACATAAAACAGGCTGAGATCAAGATTCAAGATTTTGTTTCCCAATCGAGCCAGCTGAGTGAAAAATTGTCTGCAAAAGAAAGAGAGCTTTCGAGTCACCTCGAGATCCACGAGGCTCACAAAGAGCAGGCATCTACTCGTGCGAGGGATTTGGAATTGGAACTCAACTCATCTCACGCTCAAAGAAGAGATCTTGAAAAGCAGAAAAACGATGAGCTTTCTGTTCTTCTCCAAAACCTCGAGGCCCATGAAACTGAATCGTTAAACCAAATAAATGATCTAAAAGCTCAAGTAAGCAGCCTTCAACAAGAGGTTGATTCCTTGAGGGCCCAGAAAAGCGACCTCGAAGAACAAATAGTGCATAAAAGCAATGAAGCATCCGATCAGATCAAGAACTTGACCGATCAGGTCAATGCGAAGCAGACTGAACTAGAGTCGCTGGCCAGCCAAAAAACTGAAATGGAGAAACTAATGGAGGAAAAAGTCAAAGAAGTCTCTGAACTTGTGCTCCAGATAGGGACTCTGAAAGAAGAGCTAGCAAACAAAAGTTCGGTTCTAGACCGGAACGTAGAAGAAAAACAGACTCTTTTGTTGCAAGTGATGGATCTGGAACAAAAGCTCCACTCTACAGGCAATGAAAAACTGGAATTGGAGGAACAACTTAAAGCGAAAGGCCAAGAAGTTTCAGAATTTCTAATTCGGTCAGAAGCTTTAAAAGGAGAGCTTGAGAAAATGTCCACAGAGCAACAGAAAACACTTGAAGAGAAGGAAAGTCTTGCTTTGAAAGTGCAGGACCTTACAATTGACCTCGGCTCCCTAACCAGACAGAAACATGAAATGGAAGAGGAGAACTCAAGTCTCCGCATAAAAATCTCACAGCTCGAGGATGACATAAAACAGGCTGAGATCAAGATTCAAGATTTTGTTTCCCAATCGAGCCAGCTGAATGAAAAATTGTCTGCAAAAGAAAGAGAGCTTTTGAGTCACCTCGAGATCCACAAGGCTCACAAAGAGCAGGCATCAACTCGTGCGAGGGATTTGGAATTGGAACTCAACTCATCTCACGCTCAAAGAAGAGATCTTGAAAAGCAGAAAAACGATGAGCTTTCTGTTCTTCTCCAAAAACTCGAGGCCCATGAAACTGACTCATTAAACCAAATAAATGATCTAAAAGCTCAAGTAAGCAGCCTTCAACAAGAGGCTGATTCCTTGAGGGCCCAGAAAAGCGACCTCGAAGAACAAATAGTGCATAAAAGCAGTGAAGCCTTGGATCAGATCAAGAGCTTGACCGATCAGGTCAATGCAAAGCAGACTGAACTAGAGTCGCTGGTCAGCCAAAAAGCTGAAATCGAGAAACTAATGGAGGAAAAAGTCAAAGAAGTCTCTGAACTTGTGATCCAGATAGAGCCTCTGAAAGAAGAGCTGGCAGACAAAAGTTCGGAGCTAGACCGGGACGTAGAAGAAAAGCAGACTCTTTTGTTACAAGTGATGGATTTGGAACAAAAGCTCCACTCTACAGGCAATGAAAAACTGGAATTGGAGGAACGGCTTAAAGCGAAAGGCCAAGAAATTTCAGAATTTCTAACTCAGTCAAAAGCTTTAAAAGGAGAGCTTGAGAAAATGTCCACAGAGCAACAGAAAACACTTAAAGAGAAGGAGAGTCTTGTTTTGAAAATGCAGGACCTTACTATGGACCTCGACTCCCTAACCAGACAGAAACATGAAATGGAAGAGGAGAACTCAAGTCTCTGCATAAAAATCTCACAGCTCGAGGATGACATAAAACAGGCTGAAAACAAGATTCAAGATTTTGTTTCCCAATCGAGCCAGCTGAGTGAAAAATTGTCTGCAAAAGAAAGAGAGCTTTCAAGTCACCTCGAGATCCATGAGGCTCACAAAGAACAGGCATCAACTCGTGCGAGGGATTTGGAATTGGAACTCGACTCGTCTCAGGCTCAAAGAATAGATCTTGAGAAACAGAAAAACAATGAGCTATCTGCTCTTCTCCAAAAATTCGAGGCTCATGAGGCTGACTCCTTAAACCAAATCAATGATCTAAAAGCTCAAATAAGTAGCCTTCAAAAAGAGGCTGATTCCTTGAGGACCCAGAAAATTGACCTCGAAGAACAAATAGTGCATAAAGGCAGTGAAGCCTCCGATCAAATCAAGACCTTGACCGATCAGGTCAATGCAAAGCAGACCGAACTGGAGTCGCTGGTCAGCCAAAAAACCGAAACCGAGAAACTAATGGAGGAAAAAGTCAAAGAAGTCTCTGAACTCATGATCCAGATAGAGTCTCAGAAAGAAGAGCTGACAAACAGAAGTTCGGAGCTAGACCGAAATCTAGAAGAAAAGAATACTCTTTTGTCACAAGTGATGGATCTGGAACAAAAGCTCCACTCAACAGACGATGAAAAAATGGAATTGGAGGAACAGCTTAAAGCAAAAGGCCAAGAAATTACAGAATTTGTAGCTCAGTCGGAAGCTTTAAAAAGAGAGCTCGATAAAATGTTCACTGAGCACAACTCCCTGACCAATCAGAAACATGAACTGGAAGAGCAGTTAAGGAGCAAAGATAGTGAGCTTTCCCTTTTACAGAAAACGTCCGAAGATGGAGAAAATGAATTATTGGCCCGGATCGCTGCATTAACTGCAGAGGTCAACAGTCTTCAAGAGAATTTAGGTTCTTTGGTAGCTCAGAAAAGTGAAGTCGATATCGTTCTAGAGAAGAAGAGTTCAGAAATATCTGAATTCCTGATACAGATTGAGAAGCTAAAAGGGGAATTATCAGAAAAGTTAGCAGATGAAGAAAAGTTGCTGCAAGAGAAGGAAAATGTAACGGTGCAGCTAAAGGAATTGCAACTGCAGCTGGAGACTCTTCGTAAGCAAAAAGACGATCTTGAAAATCAGCTAATGGAGGAGAAAACTAGTCTAGAGAGCAAAGTTGCCGACTTAGAGAAATCTATAACTGAGAGAGATGATGAGCTCATTGCAGTCCAGAAAAAAATGGAGAACATGAAGAATGAGGCATCTGCTGAAATAGCTTCTTTGAAAACACAGCATGACTCCTTACAACAGCAACTCGAATCATTACAGTCCGAGAAAACCCAACTGGAGGCACAAATCGAGAGAAGCAAGCAAGAGTCCACAGAGAGCTTGGCCCTGGCTGAGAACAGTAACGCCGAACTAGTGAACAAAATCACCAAGCACGAAAGAAAGCTGAAAGAGAAGGAAGACGAACTTTTCACATTGCTCGAGGAGCACAAAAACCTCGAAGCTAAGCTCCAAGAATGCCAGGAAAGTCTCGAATCATCAGATAAAAAGATAGAAGAATTGATCCAACTGCTCGAAAAAGTAACCGAAACAAAAGATGAGGAGCTTCTTCAACTGGAAGCAAAAATCGAGGACCTGAAGAGGGACCTCGAGATGAAAGACGACGAAATCAACACGATGTTGGAAAACGTGCGGAACATAGAGGTCAAGCAGCGGCTGACGAGCCAGAAGCTCCGTATTACCGAACAACTACTAAGCGAAAAAGACGAGAGCTACCTCCGAAAGGAAGAGAAGCTTCTGGAAGAACATAAATCTTTAGAAGACAAAGCTCTCTTGCTTTCCACCATAATCACAGTCTACAAAGAAGCTCACGCGAGGATCGCTTCAGAAATATCCGAAAAGGTTAATGATATGTTCACCGCCTTTGACGCCTTCCACGTAAAGTTCGAAGAGGATTACGGTCACTTGGAGTCACGAGTTTATGAAATTGGAAATGAGCTCAAGGCCGCCACAGGCTTCATCAAGAAGGAAATTTTCGGTTTGAGTCGAGCATTGAACGAGGAAAAGGTTAAGGGATCAGCATTGGAAGCTAAGACTTGTGAGCTGGAGCTGAAGCTGCAAAACAATGCCGAAGAAAAGAGAAATTTTGCGCAGACCGTGAGACTAAGGGAGGAGAAAGTCGGTGAGCTCGAGATACAAATGGAAGAGTTGGAAAGGAAGATGAAGGAGAAGGAAACAGAGTTCTTGAATTTGAGTGAGGAAAAAAGAGAGGCAATAAGACAGTTGAGTGTCTTGATCGAGTATCATCGTAATAGGTACGATGATCTCAAGGGCATGCTGCCAAAAACAAGAGATGGAGCAAGAGCAAGGCAAGTAGCTGCTTGATAGCAGCAATGTTTTGCATGGATTTTTGTTTGTTTGCTCATTTGGTTTATTTTGGTATATTCTTCACAGTTTTTTGTCTATTTTCAGTTGAATTAACTAGATATTGTTGTCCTTGTTTATGTGAAGTTTCTATTTTTTTGCTGTCAGTACAAGGTAATGTATAGGGAAAAAAAAACAATTTCATTTTTCCTGTTTGGGTTTGGATTAATTAGTGTTATTATCACATTTATTTGTACAGTGGATTTTGTACAAGTGTGGTTTTTTTTTTTTTCTCGATTTTTTCGGGGAAACAGTAAAGTTTATATTTGGTAAATTGTATGCTATGGCAAATATTACGGTTCCGTTACGGTACCTTCCCGTTGGATGTTTTAATCGTTTGATCCACATGTAGTTAGATAAGATAGATGATCGAACAATTAAAACACCCGACGGGATGGTACCGTAACGGGACCGTAACATTTCTTTGTATGCTATATATGCATTCTCCCTTTGTTATTTTCCTCAAACTTGTTTTTCCTAATGATGCCAATAATTACCTCAAAGCTTATATTAACTGGCTATGAATTTGTTAGGGATGGGATTAGTAGCCTTAATTAACTAGGGATTAATGTATTATGTATCACAAATTCTTTTATGAGACTTTTTTAGATTATTGTATTTTAGTAATAATATACAAATTTGATGTTATTATTCAGATTATGATATTTTTAGGAGAAATATTCAAATTTGGGAAAAAAAGATGAGAAATTTCTAGTATCAATATGATATGTTTTAGAGTAGTATATTTTTGCATTTTTTTTTGTATTTAAACCCCAGCCTAATCACAATTTACTTGCTTTCGAGTTTGTTATACACAAAATGTGTAAAATAACAAGCAAAAACATAAAATTAAATAAAAGCAACAAGGCATCATATAATTCGTATAGCTGATTACATAGTTTGGGAAATATTATTATTAAAAAAAAAAAAAAAAAAACTTATTTAGGCTTTCCTTTGCCAAAAAAAATGAAGATGGGCATTTTTGTAAATGCATCACATATTCCTTCCCATAATTTTTGACAGAGAAAAAGAGTAAAGTAGAAAGAACTGTTGGAAAATACAGAATAACTCCACAAAATAAAATAAATTGCTTTTTGCCAAAGCAGCTTTCGAGTCTTTTGACTAAAAAGTCATCATTAATACGACGCCGTAATATGTAGCCAACCCTCGCCAAACGGCGCCGTTTCAGATGAAAGCAAAAGAACATAAAAAAAAAAAAAAAA